TTTTTGTGCATGTATAAAAACATTATTTTGTGTTCGTAATAATATATAATAAAAATTGTTTTATCTATGAAATGAAATTTTTCCATGAAGAGATATAAATAATTATATCGTAAAAATATGTTTAAATTAGTTATTTATATGTAATAAATGGTTAAATTAAAATTTTGGTTCATATATATGCACATTTTTCATCGTAGTTCTTATAACAAAAAAACTTATATTTTGATTCTAATATTAAAAAAATATATTTATAAATTGATCTTTGGTGTTTATGAAAGTTGTAAAGGTTTTGGTGCTCTGTCGCGTAGGGACAATAAAAATTGAGTAACTGAATCAAAATATAAAATATTTTTTATGTAATGACCAAAATAAAACATAATTTAAGCACAGTGAACAAACATAGTGCCATTATATTGTAATATTGTCTGCATTCTTTTCATGTAAGAACAAAATAAAAAACGGTGTTAATTAAGGAATAAATTTATGATTTCATAAACCAATATATAATCAATATCAGATCATGATAATAATTACAAAACTTTTATTCTTTTCCAAAAGTATATGATACAATCCAAATATTCATATAACGTGTTTCTTTCCTTCTGAACTTTCAGTTGCTCAGTTTTCCTTTTGATTCCAGTATAGTTAGTTAGGTCAACTCTTTCAACTATTTAGTATAAGTTATGATGAACTTGAATGAAATTTGTGTTATGACAATTCAATTACAATTGAAATAAGTTTTTTTTTTGTTTTTTTAGAAAATTAGGAAAGGGGGAAGGGAGTTTATAATAGTGAGTGGAGTGGGCAAATAGCTAATATATATTACCAAACCTTCTCGACATCTTAAGATTTGGTACAACCACCTATCTTCTCAAATATACACAGTCAACATTTGAACTAATTAATATAAGTTATGGATCATCACAGCAACTATACTTTTAAGAAACAAGCAAAATTCAACTCACTTTATTTTAGTTTTGTTAGCTTCTTTCCTCTTTCATTTTGTTTTGTTAACCTCTTTCAGGGCCTAACTTATTTGCATAGATAATTTAGGTAACAATCTTGTTCTTCTTTAACAGCTTAATTATCAATTGGTGTCTCTTACAAGTTTGATGCTTAGATGCATGATGAGGCTTCTATCATGGCTTATTGGGGAGCCAGCCATGTCACTCTCAACCTTGCTGTACTACAGTGGTCTTTTGCCACACGATATTGTTTTGCTACGAATGGTTAGACACGATTTGCTTGACCACGAAGATCACCTCTTCTATCTTCTCATCAACTTTTTTAGTTGCTTTTGGTATACTTTCTGTTTTTAATATTCAATTTGCGTGTTTATTGAATTGATGCCGATTGTACGTTTTCATGAGATTGTAAGTTGTAACCTTATTCATCGGTGATATTAATACTATTGGGACTTTACGAATGAAGCCTTTTATGCACGTAACTTAGTGAAGTGATATATACATTTATAATTTAATTTAGAGTACATTAAAAATTTATTTTAATGTTTCCGGTGCTTTTCAATGGTGAGCTGTCTTGACATGTATGGCAAATTAACAGGGAAAGATACAAAGATGTCGAGGCATATATACTAGGTGATCTTTATTTCATGAACAAAATTAACACCGAAAACCCAGAGAGTTCCCAAAAAATAAAAAATAAAAATTAACAGTATGTGTGTACAACTACGTACCCTGCCCATCGGCTTGATTACAAGTATAAATATTCAACCCTAGCATATTACTAGATGATAATATAAAAGTTTTACATTAATATTAAAAATGTTAATGGTACTCTTTTTTTTAATTCATTTATTTTTATTATAATTACTATTAAATAACGTGAGATCACAAGAATTTCATTAATTAATTAAAAAATATTTCAAAAATAGTGTAAAAAAAGTATGTTGACGGTAATTCTCTAATAATATCTTATAATCACTTGAATTTGACAGAAATTTTTCTTTCGGCTCATGACTCAAAAGAAATCTATCGTTAACTAACTTTTCTTCTCGTTCGTAATGATTGAAAAAACGTAATAAACAACTCTTTTGGAAATACTCACTTAATGCGCAAAAAAATATAAAAGGAAATGAAGACGATAATAACAATTATAATTATAACAAGTTATTATTATTATTGAGAAGTTAATTAAGCACTGTATATGATTGGTATGCCTACCCGTGATTATACCACTGTCCCTTTTCCTATCCTAATCTCATTTTTCAATCTGCAGTCTATCTTATTATTATTATTATAGCTTTCTATTTTAATGAACTTTAACAGCTTAGTGCTAAATGATTGAGTACTTTGATTAGCAGAAAAAAAGAAATTATAAATGTTCAATAAACCATTTCTTATAGGACTTAACAATTTATTTTAACAAATAAATTCCTGAAAATTTTTAAAACATCTTGTAGTAACAATGTATTTCTTTTGCAATAAACTATTTTCTTTTGATATACAAAAGACTTAAAATATTTTTTATGATAAAAAATATGTTTCAATGTATATTTAAATCATCACCCTTCAACTTGAGTTAAAATAGGATAGGATATTTTCATTTTCTATTTTAACATAAGATGTTATGTTGATCTCAGCCATTTAATTTAATTAAAAACTAATAATAAAAAGATTTTAAAAAAATCACTTTCTCGTTTTATTTTTTTTATATTTTATTTTCTTCTCTCTCTCTCTCTCTCTCTCTCTCTCTCTCTCTCTCTCTCTTTGCTATTTTCTTCTTTCTCTTTTTAACGACACTCCAAATCGGACTCATATATTTCTAAAATATTTCTGTTAATTAAAAGCAGCTTTTATTGTTTCTAAATAGATTTATTTTATTTTTGAAACATTTAAAATTTTACTTTAAATGTTATTTTATTCATTAATAGACAACTTTTTTACTTTCTCTTTTTATTCTTTTTTTCAAATTCTCTTTTCTTATTTCTCTTTTTAATGACACCCAGATCAGACTCCCGTTTCTCTAAAATGTTTCTTTCTAATTAGATCTTTTTTATTTTCTAAACATCCAAAATTTTACTTGCAATTTTATTTTATTTATTAATTAATAGGACAATAAGGCATATTTAATTAAAAATTGAAGCATGGACTTCATAGCCAATGACACGCAATTCAATGTTCTTTTTATATCGAAAAAATGAAAATAAACTAGAGATATGTCTGATTTTGAATGTAAAATAAAAAATGAAAAGGAAAACGAAAAAAATATATTTTCAGTTGTTAATTAGTTTTAAATTAAAATAAATAATTTAATTTGATCAACATGACATATCATGTTAAAATAGAAAATAAGAAGACCCGTTCTCCATGAAAATAAATAAGATTTCAAAGTTAGATTAAATGTTGATATTTTTTTTAAATGAAACTCTACAGTCAATAAAATTTTAAAAAATTGAGAAAAATAAAATACTACGGTTTGCTTTTAAAAAATATAAAGTGGAAGTGATTGGAAATTTTCACACAAACCACGTTTAAAGAGATATTTTAAATGAATAATAATTTTGAATGATATAAATTAAAGTCAAAATTAATTTGAAATTCCTTTCTCTTATTTGATTGGTAGTTTTTAAAATTTATTCAAGTAATATTAGTCGTGAGAATATGATAAACTATCTATATAAGAATACTTCAAATGATACGAAAGTATAAAAAACAAAATTTAATTACTACCGAAATTTTATATGTGAAAATAAATCAATAATCATTTTTTATAATCAATTATAAAAGTGAGGAATACATCAAAATGTATTAAAAAAAGAAATTTTAACACAAAATACTAACATAATTTGGTAACAAAGAGAATATTTTTACATATAATCTCATATTTTAAACTATTGACTAATGAATATATGTTAAAAATGTTGATTATGAAAGTTCTTAAGAGATTTATTCCAAATAAATTATACAGAAATACGTAATGATGTAAAAGATAAAAATAATAAAAAGTGACATTCTTGTGGAATTTCCCCGGTTCAGGTAAACCGTTAAATAGTATGATCGCTGACACAACGGCTCTTAACCCCTTACCCCGTTTGGTCCCCACCCGATTGCGCCAACTGCGCCTCCTTTACCCTAATGCCATCCAGCTCAGCATCTTACTTTGCATCCTCACCGTCCACTCTTTCTCCCGTGCCCCCCGAATCAGCGGCCCAACACCTCGGTTTCATGCCAATAAAATATTTCTACCCGCAGTGAACAGAAAACCTCTAACTACCGAAAATACCCTTCTAACGTTCGCATTAACAATCGTCTTAATCGAAACAACCAAAGGTCATCATCGTCGTAGTAGAAGCGCCATCAGAAAGATCCTTTTCTTAAACCATAATTTCCTTTTTCTATTTATTTGCATTGATTTTGTATTTTTTTATATTATTATATTTTTCTCTCTCACATTCTCCTTCCACTGCAGCAAACAAAGCCTGTTCTGTGTTGTTATTCTTTTTTGACAATGGCGAATATTGCCTTTTGAGCTTCCGAGTTTAATCGCTCGCTGAGTCAAACCACCGAGTCGAGATCTTCCAACATGTTGGACGGGCTACTCGGCAGAAGCTTCACCGCGAAATGGTTCGCTTCATGTGCTTTGCTATCTTCTTTGTTCTCGTTGATGATTGTTATCTGAGACGAAAGTGAGAGCGATTTTGAGAGTGTGTTTATGCTTCTTCTAATTACGATACTCGTGTTCTCTTCTTCCGTTTCCTTGTTTTCAGCAAATCGTTGATTAAACTGACAAAGAGTCGAATCGACGTAATAAGGAGGAAGCGAAAGGCAACGGAGAAGTTTCTGAAGAAAGATATTGCTGATTTGCTACTCAATGGTTTAGATATTAATGCCTACGGAAGGGTAAGATATTGTGAGGGTTAGGCTTTGAAAAAGAAAAGCATGCTAGCTTATATATATAATCGTGTTGATAATTCGTTTGTTTGTTTCATGAATTAGCTCTAATTAAGTTGTATGGTTGCTTGCGAGGTGCTTAAACAGGCTGAAGGACTCATGGTTGAGCTGACACTGACATCTTGCTACGGTTATGTTGAGCAGTGCTGTGACTTTGTGTATAAGCATCTCTCAGCGATGCAGAAGCTGAGGTATCGTAAGTTTGTTTTAAATTTCTGCTTTGATATTATTGACATTATTTCTCATTTGACCACAGAATTTGTGGCTGATGAAGTCAATCTATCGGTTTCTGTGTGAGTATTATAATTGCTCATGTAAAAAATAAACTATATCGTGAAATTCGGGTACTGGATGAGGACTGTGCCCAAGCTAGATGCAGTAATATTTCTTATGAGGTCATGAACAGTTTTCTTTTCCCACATTGTCTGCCCCGCAGACATAATTGTAGGAATTGAATCGTGTTGGGGGAAAGATGTTCCGATTTCTGTCTATGATACTGCCATGATTCTGAAAGAAAAACAGCTTTAATGGTCGAAAAGATAATGTGGATATGCATCTACAAATTTACGTGCGTGTAGTTCTTCTATGTGCGTGGCCGAAAAGATAAAGTAATATTAATAATGATTATGGTGAGATGAACTGGTCAGAATAAAATGACAAATGTGGGTATGTTTATTTATTTTTCGGTTGACTGATTTGGATTGGTTGGACACCTGTAGCTATAATGTCACAAATATCGCAAAATTGTTATGGTTGGGTAGCAGTGGTATATTTAATATTTTCCTTGAATTCAGAAGTTGAAACAGTTGGCTTAACTGCTTCCATTTCTTTTACAGTGGTTGCCCTGAGGACTGTAGGATGGCTGTTGCGTCAGTGATGTTTGCTGCTGCAAGATTTTCTGATCTACCAGAGTTACGTGACCTTCGACAAGTATTTCAGGAAAGATATGGGAATTCCCTCGAATGTTATGTCAATCAAGAGGTGACTGACTGCTCACATTTTTATTTATATTAGAACTTTACATGTTAATCACCACGTTTTCTAGTTTCAATCACTGACTGACTATATATTGCCCATTATCTCAGTTTGCTGCAAATTTGAATTTCAAGTCCTCTACATTGGAGAAGAAGGCCTGGTTGATGCAAGAGATTGCATCTGAGTATTCAATAAACTGGGACTCCAAGGCTTTCAAACTGAGGATGTCGAGATCCTCTGCTGCACAGGTGCTGTCTTTTGCATTTCCTTTTCTTTTCATCTTGGAGTAGTTTCGTTGTCAAACTGAATACTCATCGAATTCTTAGTTTACTTCAAATATTGATGTGTCTAAAATTGTTATTATTTGATATAAATGACTTTTACAGAACCACAATACTTGTATGTCTAATCATTTGACGGATCATGGTACATTATCACATGGCAAGGATTTTACCCAAAGAGAAGTAAGGAATGATGTTCTGTTAGAGAAAATTCATGATCGTAGAAATGATGGGTGCATATTTCAGAATGGCAAGGAAGCTGTTGTCTTAAACCGACTTGATCATGATCTTCAGTCTAAATCCACACTCCCTGGAAATGGGTACAAGCCCCTAAATGGTCGGGAAGTCCCTCAGAAAAGGGATGGCCATGATAATCAACTAACAGGGAGGCAAGCGATTACTGTTGATAAGAGTGATAGAAGCTATTGGAAGGAGGGTAGTATGCTAAAACCGATTGGACATTCATCTCAGGAGAAAACAGTGACACAATTTGAAGATGGTTCCAAGCTGGATAATACTTGGGGAAATACCACCCTTCCAAGAGAAAACCAGGGTAGGGTACTAAAACCGATTGGGCATTCATCTCAGGAGAAAACAGTGGAACAATTTGAAGCTGGTTCCAAGCTGCATAATAGTTGGGGGAATACCACCCCTCTAAGAGAAAACCAGGGTATTATGCTAAAAACAATTGGACATTCAGCTCAGAAGAAAGCAGTGGAACAATTTGAAGGTGGTTCCAAGCTGCATGATAATTGGGGGAATACCACCCCTCTAAGAGAAAACCAGGAGACTACTGCTGCTAGGAAGTCTCCTAGTCATGCCAGAGTGCATTTCAAGAGTAATGTGTATGACCCATTTGCTATTAACCATGTTAGCCTACCCGATACTGATAAATCTGAGAGAAAAATGCAAAGGGATGAAACACTTGCGCCGAAGCCCTGCTATAGTAATGCCATTCCACCTCCATATGTTAAACATCCTAACTCTAAGAAGCAGAACAGCACACGGGGAGCCAATATGGTATCTTCACATGCTGACAATGATGGCATGTCTAAATATCATTCAGTACATGACAAACCTAATGCCGCTTCTATGTCAGAGAGGATTCAAATAGGTTTGGATAATTCTGACCTTGATTGGCAGGGCAGTAGACATGAGAGGCTGAGCACGCAGAATCGTGAAAAAGAAATCTCTTTTAGTGAAGATTCTGAAGAAGTGGCTGTGGGAAAACAAAAATCTATGAGGCGAAAGCACTCAAAATCACGACCTAGTTACTATGATGCCTCTAATGAAGATTCTGGACTCGAAAGAAAATCGAGAAGCAGAAGCAGGAGAAGAGATGAATCAAGACGTGGTCTGCAAACTTGCTTTGATGATGAACGGTATCAAAATGTCGCAGAGGAAAGGATAATAGATAAATTACTGATCCATTATAGCAAAAAACCATCCATCCTTGTGCCTGAAAAATTAAGAAGGAACTCTAAAACTCACCATGTGCGCCTAGTGGATAAGTCAACCAGTGAGTTACTGCAGAATGGAAGCACAGATGGATCTGATGAGACGCCAGAGATGGTTACTCTCGCACCACGTTCAGTTTCCCTTCCTCGTGAGCAACATGAAGGTGTGGAAATTAAGAAAGTATTCACTCGTGCTGCTACATTTGAGCCAATTAGATCACACGAAGCTCGGCATGTGCATCCTAAGTTACCTGACTATGATGATTTAGCAGCTAGGTTTGCGGCCTTAAGAGAAAGATGAAGGATTTAAGTAATATGAATAATTTCTTCTTTTATCGCCATGATTGCACTCATTATGATCATCACGTTTTTATCTCCTATAATGTTTGAACCTGAAATTGTTGAAGATTCTATGGTGCTTCTTTTATTGCAAATGGTTGACTACTTTGGAGCTCGACTAAATCATCGTAGATGGTCCCGTCTGTGTGGTTGACAGTAGTAAGTCTTCCATCATCTTACCGATGCATGCCCCTACAGGTTACACGCAACATTTATTTCAAGTTTTGCCTTTTATGACTGTAAAAGTGTTTGTACCAAAATACTATGGTGTTCCTACTTTCTTCCGGGTGAGGAACGAGGATAAAATATGTTGAGATTTGCTATTGGTTCAGAGCTCTTACTCACCCCTATTCTTTTTTACAGACAATGGCGTTCATTTATACATTCATTGTTTAGTATTTATGTAATATTTATTATTTAATTACACAAGTATTTTTTAATTCTGTAACTTCACATTAATTTAGTGACTTATCTCAAGCTTCAATGCATGACTGTGGCATGTGGTTAAAGTTGTACTAAAGGGCATCTCGAGTGTGTGACTTCCAATTTCAAGGAACAACTCAGAAAAAGGAAAAACAGTGAAATTAATCTACAGGAATGTATCGGTGTAAAGCTTTAGTTAGTTTTACCATGTGAGCATACGGCAGTAAATTAACAAATTGACTATTCTGAACTGGAATGTCAGAACTCAAAGTCCTAACTAGTTTCAGAACAAAAGCCTTTGTGTTCCCTAGGACCATTTCTCCTTTTACTATTAGCATCCGTCTGCATCCAAACCTCCTGTCAAAGATAAAGGACTGTTTCCCGCCAAAAGGACTTGTTCATCCTCCCCCTATATTACAGTGCTTCTTTTACCGCCACATCCTACGAAAGAAGAGACACAGAAAGAGAGAGAGGTCAAAGTCCATAGTCCAAAGAGATGAAGGGAACATCCAAAGTGATTATGGGTGCAACCTTGGTGATGGTGGTGACCCTTGCAGTGGTCCTTGGCCTAATATTTGTGCTGCTAGCTGAACTCTACTGTTCTCTCTTACTTCGCCGGCGCCACCTCAGAAACAGCAACTCCAACACTATTCTCACCACCCCCATTCAACCCATCACAACCAGAGTCAATGCTTCTCCTTCACACGCAGCATCACACCCCCAACAACAGTCATCTCCGTTCAGTAGCATCTATGCACAAGGGGTCCTCCAAGCTCCAAGCAGCATCCTTTTACCCGCAGTTTCTTGCAAAGAAGACAAAGCTGGGCCAAGGAAGCAACATTCTAAGCTTCATCAGCTTGTTCAAATCCAAATGCAAACCAAAGAATCAGATGCAAGCCTATGTCAAGTTGTGGTTCATCCAGATTCTTCCCCACCACCATCCTTCATCTCCAAAGCTTCCCCAAAGCCAATTCATCAAGATCCTCCTTTGGGTAGTTCCAGTGGCGGGGAACACCTTGTGTACATTTCCAACCCCATTTATGAAAATGATGAGAGCCAAGGCAGCGGAGCAAATACCCCATTTGAGACACCAGACACTTCACCTTCACGTTTGGAAAGAAGTGGTTCCTCTGAGGAAGATGAGGCACTCCCTTGTGTTACTACTCACTCACCTCCACTTACACCTCCTCTCACTCCAATGAAGAAGCTCCCTGCAGAGGCTTGTTCTGTTTCTCTTAGAGATGCTAGGTCCTTGGGCACTTCAGGCAGTGATTCCCATAGCAACAATGGTCTCTCTTCTTCAGCCTCCGCTTCCCCTTGTACTTCTCCTTCTTGGTAATTGTGATTCTTCAATGGTGTGGCTAGATTGCTAGAGTAGAGCTAAAGCCTTTTTTTTTTTTTTGTTTGTTTCATTGCGAGGGTAGTTTTGTAAATGAAGTAATAGTGGGGGTAGTGACTCGGAAGAACAAGATCAAAAGTAGCAATAGCAGCTGCTTAGCATTTGAGAAAAAGCTAAGAGTACTTTCTTTTTGCAGGCGTGGCTATCATGGCGCTTCTGTTCTAGTAGCACTCATGGCAACTCAACTTTTTTTACATCTCAGCACTTTCTAGCTAATTATATCAGGGAAATGAACGGTCTTTATTACCATTGGCATTTGATACACTTTCCTTGTTTTTTATTGGAAAAAAGTTGCATTTCCTTTTGAGAAATGTTATTACAAAACTTAATTTACAACTATATATTCAAAAATATAAAAAGACAAAATAACAAATAACTTTTAATTTGTATTTTTTAATTAATAAAATAAATAATGATATAATTTTATCTTTTAACACTTCTGTATGAATTGTAAAAAAATTTTGTAAGAATATCACATCTCTTTACGTTGCCAAGTACGAAAATTTTAAAAAAATTTCTTGTCTTCTGTTATCGTTAAAATGCAATGGAAATGTTTCAATCTGGGTTTCTGAGTGCCTGAGTTATGATTCCCATGCGTAATAACGCATTGAAAGGTAAACCCACAAACTAGCTGTCAGCCCCTGCAACTGCAATCTGTAAGCACGGTATGTAGTTTTTGGTCCACTTCGATGAGGACGAGCACATCGGCTGCTTGCTGGAGTTCGATTAGGCAAGAAACTTCAGATTTCGCCTTGTTATGTTCTGATTAGTAGTTTTGGATGGTTGAGATAATGAAAGATATTCTATTTGTTGGGAGCATGCGGAGCTGATATGTTTGGACAGATAAAAAATACTGTAAACTACTACTCGATCTTGAAAGAATATATTAGTCTTTTAAAGATGAAAATAATTATTTTATCATCAAAAGGCAAAATGAGATTACCAAGATCAAAATTCCTTTAAAACTATAGTCAGGTGACCAAAGTTTTATCATGTTGCACAGGCAAGTGGTTAAATTCATAAAATGTCAATGGAGAAAACATTTGAGATGCCAATGTTGCCATTACTATGGCAGACAGTACGGATAGCTCCTATATACGTTTTCCCTTTAGCTCGAGGTTGATGAGTAAGTATAGTCCATCCTTTTGTTTGGCCAAAATCAAGTAAACAGACAAATTAGTAATTAAACGTTAGTTATAGAACTTGCGTTTAAGATTTTTAAATATTCTTCCCTTTCAAAAATAAGAATGTACTTCAACAAGAGGTGCCAATAGAAAAAGCTCAAGGGAGGTGCCGATAGAAGAAAAAAAAGAGGTGCAAAAAGGCCGGTTGTAAGTAAGCATTAAACAGAATAAATGAGTAAGAGTTGTTAACTTGAATTTAAGGATCTCAAAGTAAACTTTTTTATTGAATAAGAACACATTTATTACATTAAAAAATTTTAGAAGTGTGATAAAATGCTTTTTTAAAATAAAAATTTACCCTCTTTTTTTCTCTTAAAGCTCAACAGTAAAAATTGATGCTAATATTTTTCAATAAGAACAACTTTGTGCTTGAGATCTTACGATGCACGCTGAACAAATGTTTGTTCTTTTCTGACCATGTATAGATCAACGATGGACATGGATGCATCCATACAACTCATGAAATGATATAAATGAAGATTCCCCCAGTGATCTGTGAGCAGTGAATTATGTTTCCGGTATTTGAGTACAATATACACGGAATTAAACATAATATTTTCCAAAAGAAAAGATTCTTAAGGGCATGCCATTAAGCACAACAAAACAGTCTTCTTCTAGTTTCTTGAGGTCTGCTATCCAGCTTGATTCCAGTTTGACGTGAAGGGTTAGCTTTTGCCAGTCTCTTAGCTGCAAAACGTATTTTTGGGAGGTCAAGAATCTTTAAAAAGAGCGTTAATAACCAACCATTAGTGTCACCACATTCATTTGGTTAAAATTCCCAAAGTTTAATATTTCTTTGGTTAAAGATATGCTTCTTGATGTGTTGGTATATATTTTTTAACAGAACAGAAAGGCAGAACATGCAATTCAACAAAATTTGAGCCACTGAAAAGGCAATGCAAGTGTTCTTACTTAAGAGACACCGCTTCTTGGCCTCAATACTTAAGAGGGTGAATGGTTACCTATTTCATAGAAGAGCTCATTCACATTCTGTGCTGTTTTTGCTGAAGTTTCAAGAAAAGACAAGCCATTTTCTTTGGCATATTCCTCACCCTCCTTCAACCAACCATCAATACATAGCATGTCATATGAAAATTAGTACCGAAACAAATTCTGATTGTGGAGATTAAGAGCCAAGTGAACCTCTGAAAATTATATAATGAACAATCATGAAATTGAGAGAACAATTCACTAGAACAATTCACTAGAAATACCTCATTTCCGACTTGTCTCTCCCCTTCCAAATCAGCCTTGTTAGCCACCAAAAACATTGTCAAACTTGGATTTGCTGACGTAAATTCAGTGAACCATCAAATTTTATCATATTATAAAGTTGTGATGAACTTTATCAGAATGATATCTTAAACCCATTTCAGCCTTTTAAGCATAAAGAAATCTGGTTCTGATGTAAATACTTTCATAAAAAAACTCACTCTTACTAATGAATTGGATGATCATGATAATGATCTTTTACAAGTTTTAGTATCAGACAATTTATATTAATCTCAATAGCTTCTTAAGTTTCTTTAAAACATTTACATTTTTGACAGTTACCTTGTCTTTGCACTTCTCGAACCCACTTCTTTGCTCGGACAAAAGAATCCTGGGTCAGAAATACATTATTATTTATTCAGTCAGATATTTTCATTGGAAATGTATTTAGACATTTTGCAATAGATATCTAAACAAAACACAATACTGAATCTTTTAAAGAACACTAAAACACTAGTTGGCCCTAATCAATGTAGTTAAAGCCTGTTAGTTAGTCTTCTGATGCTGACAGAAAACTAACCACATTGTTTGGGGGCAACTAATATTGTAATAAATGATAAAATACATTAGAATAATCATGAATTAATAGTATATTTATATTAAGCATGTGTTAAAGAAGTTAAACTGCTAAATCATGCTTAAAATGCGATCATATTCCATACACTACCCTGGCCATACAGGGACCTTTTTCTTTTCTGTTGAGAATAAAATATGTGTGGACCTAGTTACTTCTCCAAATTTGGTATTTCCCAAGTCATGAACTTATTATTTTACAAAAGAAGAATTTTCTAAGTAAAATTTTTATACGCTGTTCTGACTTATAGGATTAAGTACCAACTACCGTAGATGGGGTTAATTTATCTTTCATGAGAAAACTACTCCTTGAAGGCACTTAATAATTAGAAGCGAAAAATACAATATATAGTTACCATGCTTGTAATATCATACACAACTATGGCAGCAGCAGCACCTCGATAGTACATAGGAGCCAAACTGTGGTATCGTTCCTGTCCTGCTGTGTCCCATATATCAAATTTTACAGTGGCTTCATTTAAAGACAACACCTGAGTAAAGAATGCAGCTCCAATTGTTGATTCCTGCACACATATGTTAATGGAAAACCACTAGAATATATTATGATGTGAAGAGGCTTAAAGAGGATTAAAATGATGAAGTACGGAAAAAAACAACAACAATAGTAACCTGGTATTCGGAAAATTGACCTTTGACAAATCTAAGAACCAAACTTGTCTTCCCTGTCCCCATGTCCCCAAGAAGTACCTGTGAAATCATAGAGATTAAGTTAACAAGTTGGGAATACTTTCTTCTGCTAACTGTGCATGCCCTTTTGATCACACGAAAATTAGGTAAAATAGATATTTGAAATTTAGTTGAAGAGAAAAATTAGAGACAAAAATTTGAATTTTTTATTTTTTATAATTTTTTCCTCTATTTTGTTATTTATTTTCACTTCAGCTAATTAATGAAAAAATACAACTTTCAAAAGCTCTCTCCTTCATATTTTCTTTCTCTCCAACCATAGGATAAATGACGAAAAAATAGTGGATAGAGGTAGACATAAAGACATAATCTTTTTGGTTGGCAGAATATGAAGCGTCCAACTAGAACTAATCAACGACTTTGCTAATGCAAGATAGAACAAGCTTGAGTACTCTCTGCATGTCATTAATATAAAGTCACTAACTGAATAAATAGCTAGAAATATTGTTACCTAAATGAATGGTTTTATATGTAACTTGCCCCCTCGGAAAAAATGGTGGAAAATGAACGCATATCATGAACGAACTAATCCAATTCTTTTAAACTCTTGATGCAGATAAATGCATGGTTTTATATCTAACAGTTATCTATAAACATAAATAATTTTGACTCATACAAATATAATTTTTCTTGAAGGATGAAGACATATGCACAAGCAGACAGAAACAGTAGAAAGATGCAAGCAGAGCACTTTTCAATAATTAAACAAACATTAAACAGTTGTTTATGTCACGTAATAAGATATGATTGCTTAGAATCCAACAGATATTTTACTCAAGAAATTAGTTGAAGTCCTAGTATATCAAATATGTTCTTCTGATTTAATTCCCAATATGTCAAATAGACGCTATTTCTATTCTTCAAATGGAGTTTATCGTTATAATACAAAATAACAAAAAAAAGGGAAGACATACCCACCAGTTTGGCCTGTAAACTCTTGTTTCCTGTCCTTGCCATAGCTAAGCGGATCTATGGAGGAAAAAAGAGAAAATTTCTTTAGTATATCAGAGGTTTTTCAAAGATTGAAAAGATAATCCAAAGGAAGGCAATGAGATGTTGGAAATGATAAATGGGAAAGCTAGAGGAGAGGAAAAAATAAGGATGATGACATTGTACAAGAATGGTAGTTTGTTGGTTGGACTGGTAAGTAAGCTATTATGTATAAAACTTATTATGTGAAATTGTGAACGACAAGCATTTTAATTTTTGCTAAGGTACATGAGTTAATTTTTAAATTTAATATTATTTATATCTAGTCAAGTTTTTTTGTTAGATTAAACAATTAAGGACAAATTATACTCATGTTTCCAGAAATTTAATAATATTATATTTAATATTTTTGTCTGTTTTAGACTTGTATATATTTCTCTCAATTTATATAATATATAATGTCATTTACCGTCGCTGTTAATACAGGCAATTTCTTATAATGTGAATTGAGGGAAGTATTATCAAAATAAAGAGGGACATCAAGTGTACTATTGTTAAACGTGAAGAAATATAGTGTAATTTATCAAAACAACAATTAATGTAATACAAGTTTAATAAATTATGAGACTCTATTCTACGCATATAATTGAATACAAGGACAGAGTTGAATTTTGGATCCTTTGTTGGCATTAGCCCACGTAAATAAGTGTGTGTGATTTAGGATCTCTTATTGACATTAGCCTACATAAATAAATGTGTCTTATGATTTTAGGATTTCTTATTGGCATTATAGCCCACGTAAACAATTGTGCGTAAAATAAAAATAAAAAAACTTAATTCAAATAAATAAATAAAAATATATAAAAGAATGCTCATTTGCAAAAGTTGTTTAAACAATTAAGAAAGTTTAAATTACAATTAAACAGCCTATCACACATATTTAGGCTTTATACTCAAATTTGTACGAGTCTAAAAGTATAAGGTACCTTAATCGTTGTTATTGAGGGACTTAATGCTCACTTGGCAGTTATTGATTACGTATCATTCATATTATTATTAGTGTCATGACTTAGCCATATTAAAAAGATATGTTTCTACTTATGATTAAGTTATGAGCTAGGTTCTTATTATTTGATAAGAGCAATATGGAAATCATAATAAATTGTTAAGAATCTAGATCCACTTTAAAACTATGCACTAATAAATGAACATAAAGATATGCTAAAGTTATATTCCTGACTTTAAAAGACTTCACCATTGGATCCTACCTAAAATAAGGACACATGAGGAGCTTACTTCTCTTTTTTCTCTTCATTCATTGTAGTTTAGTAACATGACATGCATACCATGAGCATGATATTTTTAGATCTTATCTTTTTTATCCAAAAATAAAATGAAACATATATGAAAACATATTCATTTTGTGAAATCATGATCATTGTATTAAGTTTGCATTGGTAAGGTATTTCGTAGGCATGATAAGTTACATTTCATTTCATTATTTTCAATCATTCAAAATTGTCATGCATTCATTAGGTTTACACTTACATATTAAGTATTGATTTTATTCTTTTTGTTCTTGTTTTTTATTTTACTTGTTTCCTCTTTTAAAAATAAAAGATTCAATAAATAAGCGAGGTTCAAGGTTACAATAACAATGCATCAGGGCCAATGAGAAGTACCAAAATCATAGTACTGAGCAATGACCTTCAAAAAGTGAATGAAATTTGTCAAAATATGCTCAAAGAAGCATACTCAAGTTTTGAAAGGAAATATGGTCGAATCATTTATTTGCTTTCTATCTTAGTAAAAGCACCAACATTGAATGTTTTATCCTAATTTTGGAATTCAAAACTCAAATGCTTAGAGTTATCTAGTTTGGATCTCGTGCCTACTATAGAAGAATATAAAATGATGATGAGACTACCAATCAAGGAAGACAATAAGGTAAATCTCTATAGAAGAAGTTATGTAGAATCCAGAAAAATAGCTACTTTGATTGCCTTAAACGTAGAATGAGCCGAGTTTGAGAGCAGCAGATCAGTGTAAGGTTTGACATTAAAGTTGTTGCAGTTCCTTTTTTGTACAAAGACTCCAAATGTTCTTTTAAAAATATTTTCTTCCAACCTTGCAATAATCCTTTGTTCTCAAAATCAGCACATTTTGCGCTTAAATCAATCAAAGTAGTTATTTTTTTAAATCCTACATAGTTTATTCTATAAAGATATACTTTACTGTCTTTCTTAATTGGTAGTCTCATCATCATTTTATATTTTTCTACAGTAGACACGAGATTTAAATTATGTAACTTCAAGCATTTGAGTTTTAAATTTCAAAACTAGGATAAAACACTTAACATTGATCTTCTACTAAGATAGAAAACAAATCTATAGTTCAGCCATACTTCTTTTCAAAATTTAAATATGTTTATTTAAATATATTTTGACATATTTTATTCATTATTTGAAAGTTATTGTTTAGTACTATGATTTTGGTAAATACAAGTATAAGAATAAATTTTTATAACACTCTAACTTTCCTTGAGAGGAGTGCCACTGAGATATAATTTTAAATAAATACTTTAGATATTATATTGTAATTTTTACTTTTTAAGTCATGATTTTAAATTTTTAAATAAATTTTTACAGTACTATTATTGTTAGAATTTTACTTTTTAACATTTAATTTTAATAAGCGTATAAAAATTCTTACTTTTAATAAATAAAATATATTGATGTAAAATATTCAATCCTGCTGTGAGTGAAATTATGTAAGATTTAATTTAACTTATATAATATATAATTTATGCGAACGATGATGTGATATATATATATATATATATATATATATATATATAATTGAAATTTTATTAAAAACATGTGACAGATATTATATTACTAATAATATATTTCGTTTATGTTATATTTTAATCAATTTGTATAAATTTTAATAAATACTATGTAAATAAATAATAAAGTAATTTAATAAATTACTGATAAGGATAAATAAAACATAATTTTTAAAGAATTAAACTCAAATAATAAATATAATTTTAAAAAAATATTATTGAAACTTAAAAATATTTAATAAACATATTAAATATAGTTGAAAAGAAAACAGATATAAAATGTCCTTGAATTAATAGTGCAAGGACGCAATATCTAAAGGGTGTATTAGGTAAGTTAGTTTTTGTGAAATGGCGATACGGGGCATATACTTGTTTGTCATCTCCAAAATTTTATCCGGAAATGGAGTAACTGTTCCTTTGTCACTTTTCTACGTTCTTATCCACAAAATGTGATCTTTCCATGCCATCTTTTTGTTGATGCTCTGTTCGGATCCTTATGTGTTGGGACACAGGTAGAATTTTTTAAAAGGAAAAGAATAAGAGATTAATAAAACACAAAAATATATATATTGTTTAAACAGATCAAAATAAAAAATAAAATAATTTGTTTGTTTATTTATTTAAATAAATTAAAAAACATAAACAAATACTATAAAAAAACTTTTACATTAGCTAAAAAATAAAACATATATATAATTTTATGTTGTGTCGAAAATATTAGAATAAATTTGATTACGAACGTACTTTTGAATTGAAAATTATAAAATCTAACTCATTCTACTTAAAACTCAAATTTAACCAAAAAAAAATAATTAAAAATGGAATACTCACCCAAACAACATAACAGAAAACGGCCCCCAGGAAGCCAAATATAAATCCTATAAAATGGAATTGATGGTACAAAACATGAAATGCAAATTAGTTGGATGTTACTCTCATCACCCACTTTGCCAAGAGACACAAGGGCCCTACTCTGAGGCTTGACGTTGATTGGCCTGCTTTTAAAATATCAAATATTCATAAAGATTCAAAGGTTATACATTTTGCAATTTCTTCTTTAAAAATAAACGTGGGAGCAAACGAAAATCTCAAAATACAATAACATGACTCAATGTCAAAATATACTAACATAATCGACTGAAATATCAAAGGATCCGTATCCATACTGAATATGTAAGAGAGGAACAAATATTTCATCAAAAATTAATTTTTTTTGACATTTTACAGATTGGTGTGCCAAGCAAGTAGTCAATAGTATTTTAAAATATCGAGTTTAGAGTATGAGTGCAATCCACCATACCAAATCATATGTTTCTCGGGCTGGGATATTGGGCCCATGCAAATTAATCGTTACTCCGTTGATTAATTACATCCATTGTGAAAGTTTTGTAATGATTTTTATAAACTAATTATCGTTTCTAAAATTTCTTTCAAATAAATAAGTGTTTTATTTACCTCTACTTTTAGTATTAAAAATAAATAACTAATAATAATAAAATTTTATTTAAAAAATATTTATTATACTTTTATCATTTTAATATAATAATTATATAATTTTTTCATAATTTTTTTTTATTTATGAATACTTAAACTCAATTCTAAAAATTAAGGTTACAAAACTTAATAAATAATATCAAAAACGAATTTAATATACACAAGCTATTGAATATTTCTCAATTCATTATTTTAGTGTCTTATTCTCTTCATGATATTATTATTATATCTTAAAAGTCACAATTACATTGATTAGTTCAAGTTAAGTGAGAAAATTCTTTGAAAAATAAGGCTTAAACTTAAATCTTATTTGTAAATAATTAAATTTTTAAATATTCAGATAAACCAGTATTAATATCCTATTTTTATCCTGGATAATTAACTACATAATGTTTGGGTACACGAGAGAAGCGATAAGAGAAAAGGTAGCGTGCAAAAAAGTAAAAGAAAATTATCTTTTTATAAAACATTTTAATAACATGTGTCTAAAATATATAATAAAATTTTATTAAAAATATAATATTAAATATTATCAATAAACTAAATTTAATAACATATAATTTTTTTTAAAAATTATTATTATTATATATATATATATCATTAAATATGCGTTAACATAAGTAACAACGAAAATACATTAAAATTAGTATCGTATTTTAATTACATAAGAAAAATTAAATATTTAGTCTATCCCATATAAAAAAGAAAAATAAAATATCTAGTGTACCCCTGGTATGGTTTTGTATATAACAGAAGTTTCTAGTCCTTGGTTATTTGGCTACCTAAGCCTTTCAGCAGCAGCGTCACTCATGGCTTCCCATTCCCAATCTCAGCTTCAGACTAAGCTCACCGTTTCC